CCCAGCTCTCCCGGAGCTCCTTTCAAATCCGAAGTGTTGACTCTACCAAATAAGTGCTTGTTGTCCGCCTACCGATGGTGACTCCCTTCCTGGGTGGTAGCAAGGCGGATGTGGCTTCCTAAGAAGCTTACCTCGGAGGCTGCGGAAAGGATGGCCTGTATCGATGTATAGAACAGTAAGGGCGCCGCCGACTACGGCGGTGACGAGGTCGATGTCGAAGAGGGTGGGGGTGTCAGTGGTGGGGGTGAAGGCGGCGGCGAGGGCGGCGAGGGGGGCGGCAGAGCGGGCGGCATCGGAGGGAGCGCCGGTGGGAAAGGAGGCGGCGGCGGAGGAGGGGGGGTGAGTGGCGGCGGCGGCGGCGGCGGCGACGACGGCGGCGGCGGGGAGGGCGGCGGCGGCGGCAGAGGCGTGGGTGGCGGTGCGGAGGGCGGCGGCGGCGGAGGAGGCGATGGTGGCGGTGGGGAAGGCGGCGGCGGCGGCGGAGGTGGTGTTGGTGGCGGCGGCGGCGGCGGAGGTGGTGATGGTGGCGGCGGCGGCGAGGGTGGCGGCGGCGGTGGCAATGGCAGCGGTGGCGAGGGCGGCGGCGAGGGCGGCGGCGGCGGCGGAGGGGAGGGTGGCGGCGGCGGAGGTTGAGGAGGCGACGAGGGCGGCGGCGACGACGGTCGTGGCGGCGGCGGTAGCGGTGAGGGTGGCGGCATCGGGTCGGGCGGCGGCGGCGGCAGTGGCGGCGGCGAGGTCGGAGAGGGTGGCGGCGGCGGGGGAGGTGGCGCTGCTGGGGATGGCATCTCCCACAGAGGCGGAGATGGAGGGAGCGATTGCGGCTGCGGAGCACGCTGCGTGGTCTCCTTGACGAGGCATCTTGCGTAGGGCGACCCCGGCATCGGCAGCACGTGGGAGACGCTCGAAGTGTGGAGACGGCAGCGCGTCATCCTCCGAGAGCTCTTCAGCTGCCGCTGCAGGAAATCGTACCCGGTACAGGCCGCCTGCCAGCTGCACCGAGCCATGCACGCCTCCTCCTCGAGATCCCACACTTCGGTCGAGGCGGCCGTTTGCGCTGAGCACACACCGTCAGAGCGCCGGCCCGACGCTGTCCGCCATCGCACAAGAGGGTTGTGAGAAATGCCGAGGGAGAACATGTCGGCGCGAACAGGCGGGCTGCTGCTTTGTCTCTCACCCAGTCGTGGTCGGCGTGCTTTGAGCCGGGAGCACGATGACCCGGCGTTTTTTTTAGATTTAGAGACTCTCTTTTTTTATGGGATCTTTCCTCCCTTTTTATGAGTAGACCGGAGCAAATAGCCAGCCGAGCAGAAGAAGGTGGAGCGCGGCCGACCACTCAAAATAGGCACAAGCGACTCCGGTGGCGGATGCCGAGCCCGCGAGCCCCAGGAGGTGCTCCGACCCTACGTTGGAGACAAAGAGCGAAAGCCCTACCGCTGGCCAGCGCATACTGCGGCCCGCGAGCGAGGAAGAAAGATTCTGCTTCGTCCTGCCCACCGCCATCGCCGCCGCCGCGAGCCCAGAAGATGATGCCGACGGCGGCCATGCCGACAAAATAAAGGGCAATGAGATGTCGATCGCCTCAAGGGTGACCGGCATCACGCAGGTGTCCTGTCGCCCCGGTGTGCTCGGTGTGCTACGCGCAGCAATTCCACCAGCCGTGTGCCCACAGCTCGGTGTGCTCCACAGCTCCGCCTACACACAGTTGATTTGATTTGTTTTCTTTTTCTCCATCGTCCAATGAACTGACATCTCCCTTGAGTGCGAGTTAGGGCTAGCAGTAGGCCGCTAGCCTGTGAGGAGGGCGTCCATAGACACCTCACTAGACCCACACACGGTCTCGTCCGTGCCTCGCCGGCCGGCGAGATTGCTAGAGGCGGAGCGGTCTGCTCTAGTCTCACATGTTACTTCCTGCCGTCTGTTGTTTGTTGTGCCCTTGTTTGTTCTCTTGGCACCTTGGAGTGCTGGGGGGGGCGACAGGGAGGATGTCGCCTTGAGTTATGTGTACGCCTACTCAGGGTGTGTGGCAGCCCGCTGGCTGTGTGTCTTGTGAGCTTGTTTGTGTCTGTGTGTCGCTCGTGCGTGTCGTCGTCATCTGTCCAGCGTCCACCCATACCGCGTTGGTGTCCAGTCCGAGCCTGACTGTTCTTCACCTTCCTACATACATACATACATGACATGACAGAAGTGTCCCTTATAATGGCGTTGAACTGGCGGCGCCTTTCTCTTTTCTCTGGCCCGGCGGGCTTAAAGGCCGGTGCACCTCGCGGTCTGCGAGCGGGCGGTCGGTGGAGGCGCTGCGCCCTGCGCGCGTCCGCGAATTCGCGTCCGCGGTGCGGCAGGTTGCGATCCTCGGCCGGCGGGGCGTGCTGCAGGCGGCCTTCACGATCAAGGAGCTGCGTGAGCTCACAAAGCTCGCCGGTGTCTCGACGTCGAACGAGGCGCCGCCCGACGCCTTCTCCGCCGTCGTGCTTTCTTGCCTGGGCTCCTCCCAAGGCTGAGCTCCTCCCTGCATCTCTGCAGAATGTCCCTTGTACGTACTTTTAGCTTACTTGGAGAAAACGAGTTTACTAAAAAGAAAAGAGGCGGCGTTGTGTAGGCCCTTGTACAGTGGGTTGCGGGCATTAAGAAACCTTACCATCAAGAAACCCTACCAAGCGATTTCCGCGAAAATCTAAGAAACCACGGCGCGCCGCAGGCGCGGCCCCGAGAAAAGGCCAGTCACGAGTGTGAACGGGAGCCCCAGCTGAAGCTCAAAATTTCTCTTCGCGCTGCGGCGCGCGCACTTGTCACTTTTCAAGTCTGCGGAGTTCTGAGTGGAGTGGATGGAGGCGTGTGTGCGTCTTCCCGTCATCCAGAGAGCCGACTCGGCGGCAGACTCTGGCATCGCCCTCGCGGACCGCAGCTTAATACCTCCGGCTCCGCAGCTTTAATACCTAAAAATCCTTCGGGCCGGCGCTCTGGCTTGATTGAGTGCCCCGCCCGGCCGGAGCTAAGAAACCACGGCGTGGGGTGGATGAGGGCTGTGGAAAGGCTTAGAAACGGCGGCGTGCCACGCGATCCTGTTTTCTTAATCGCCTGTCGCGTGAATCGTGTCGTGCGACCGCCTGCCTTGTAAAATTCTTAATGCCCGCAACCCACTGTAGGAATCCAAACGTATCCGCCCCCCCCCCCCCCCCTCCCCTTCCGCGTTGGGGTACGACGCGGCGAAAGGCACCAAAAAGACTGACTGACGTACCGCGAAGGCGACCAGCAGCCATGGGCCGCCCTCTGCGCGTGGTGATCGCCGGCGGCGGGCTCGCGGGCAACGTGCTGCTGCGGCAGCTACGGCGGTTCGGGCCGGAGCTGCTTCATGTCAGGGCATTCGAGCGGCGGCCGTTCGAGCTAGCCAGCCCGCCGGGGCTGAACGTGCTGCTCAATCACAACGGTTGCGCCGCTCTCGCCGACACCGACCCCGAGCTCATGGCTGCTATCCGAGCCGTCGGCTTCGAGGCGAGGCTGGCAGGCGTGGAAGCTGCTGCCTCGCTCGGCTCTTATGAGCTCTCTCATGTCTGCCAGGTTCGCAACTGGAGCGCGCGCACGATGGCGGGGGACGTGCTCTATCACCTGGAGGACGTCGTGCGCGACGGCCGCGCCGACGAGCCCTGCCTCGTCGCTCGCTGGGACCGCATCCACGCTGCCACACGCTGCGACGACTTGGTCGAGTACGGCGCGGCAGCTCCGACTGGCTCGGCCTGCGCCCTGTGAGAGCTCCCACGTGTGCTGTGATGAAGCGACAGGCGCCGCCGTCGAGAGGGTCGACGACGTGGCGGCGGCAGGCGGCGGCGGCGGCGGCGGCGGCGGCGAGCTGGCGGTGACTGTCGCGCGCGGCGGAGGCGTCACCGAGACGCTCCCTGCTGACCTGGTGGTGGCGTGCGACGGGCGCTACTCCGCGCTGCGGCAGCAGCTCGCACCTGCAGTCCCGTGCTACGGGCCGCCCTACGTCGCGGACTTCCGCATCGTCGCGCCCGGCGCGCCTCCCCCGATGGAGGGCCCTCTGTGGCGAGTGTACAACCGGCCCGACGCCGCCGCGCTGGCCGCCAAGTGCGGCGCCTAGATGCGAACCAGCAGAGATGCGAGCCAGCAGAGGGAGCCGCTGTCTGCGGCACCACCGAGGCTCGCCGTACACATATTCAGCACACCGCTGTGAACAGCCCCCGAACCCACACTCGGGCCCCACAACACATGCGTCGCCCTGTAGGTACGGCGGCGACACTGCCATCCGCGCGGCGGCGGAGGGCGTCGTGCGCGTGGGTCTGATGCGCATGCCCGCGCGCGCCGGCGCTGCGCCGGGCGAGGTGGAGACCGGCCTCTTTGGCAACGTGCGCCTCAGCGACGAGTCGCTAGAGGCGTACGGCTCGCTCCGGTCTGGCGCGGTGCTGCGCGACCTCTTCGCCGCGCCGCGGCTCGACCCTATCGGCGACTGCGTGCTGCGCGTGCGGCGGGGCGCGCAGCCTGTCTGAGCCTCGTGGGAGCCTTCTTAGGCGACTTCGTGCTGCGCGTGCTCGAGGCGCACGGCGACGCGGCGCACTGGGCCCGCAAGCAGCAGACCGAGACGGCATACGCGGCGCTCGGCGGGCGCGTCCTCTTCTGCGGCGACTCGGCCGGCGCCATCTACCCGTCGCTCGGGCAAGGCGCCAACTTGTCGCTCGAGGACGCGTGCGTCGTCGCTGCCGCCTTCCGGCGCGGCTTGCGCGACGAGCAGCGCCGCGATGCCGCCCGCCTCGACGCCGCGGCGCTGGCGGAGCACGTGGCGGCGGTGCGCGGCTCACGGCGCGACTTTGTGCGTGACATGTCGCGCGCGCACGCGGAGCACGTCTCCTCCGGCGACCTCGACGCCGAGGCCGCAGCCTGGAACGACGGCCCGGACGGCGAGTGGGGGTCGAGGCTCGGAAGGCTATGGCGCGGCTGGCCGCGGGCGGCGACGTCGGAGCTGCCGCCGCTCCGCGCGCGCACGGCGACGCGCGCCAACTTTGCCGCGTTTGGAGAGCTGGTCGCCGAGTCGGAGGACGGCGAGCTGTACGACGCGACGGCGGGCGGCATCGACGCGTCGCTCGACCTCTCGCAGGGTCCGCCTCGGCTGTACCTGATGCGGCTCGATGGCCCTCGCGAGCTGAGCGTCTCGATGATCACGAGGCACCAACGCGTAACGCAGTGCCTCGGCGCGCTCGGCGAGGAGAAGGACTTCTACCTGGTCGTGCACCAGCCGGGCGACGAGCCGTCCGTCGGCGGCCTCAACGCCTTCCGCGTCCCGCCGCGGCACTTTGTCAAGCTGCACGCCGGCACGTGGCACGCCGGGCCTCTGTGGACGCGCGACGAGCACCGGACGTTCGTGAACCTCGAGCTAGCGGACACGGTGTGCTGCCGGCCTCCCTCCGGCCCTCCCGCACCCACCCAGCCCCTCTCCCTCGCCCTGCTCCCACCCTCCCCGCCGCGAGCTGCAATGTGCTGCGAGCAATGAGCCGCTCCTCCTTGCCACACAGAACATCACCGACCACGACTGCGTGGACCTGGTCGCCGGCTCCATCCCCTTGCTTGTTGATGCCGCCGCATCTTAGTGCGCGGGGCGGAGCGGGCGGCGAGCGAGGCGAAACGGGCCGCGCAGGTAAGCAGTATCCAATCACGTCCTCCCTCGCTCTTCGCGTCCGCTTGTCTGCTGTAATTGTACACACCATCTCTCTCGTGGGTCGTGCGCGTAAAGTAAGTATACTCCAAACAACAACACAAAAACTATGGACCCCCTCAATAAGTCGAGTGCAAGCCGCGGGGCGCCGCGCGCAAAAGGTGTGTGGTGTGTGTGACTCTTGTGGCATGTGCACCATGCCTCCACCAGCCACCACCGCCTCGTTTGGCTCCACTCGGTCCGCCACGGACCCTATGCGCACAGAGTCAGAGCTGCGCCGGGATGTCCGAGAGCCTACCACCAAGGCAAGCGCGTCTAAGGAGGAGAGCGTGAGACGGCGCAGAGGAGCGGCTGGAGAGGCGCACCCCGAAGGTAGGAGGGCTGCAGTGAGGGCGTGCACACATGTGCATGTGCATGACATGTACACGACATGAACATGAACATGAACATGAACATGAACATGAACATGAACAACATGAGTCATGACAACAACATGAACATGAACATGCACATGCACATGCACATGCTCATGCACATGCTACATGTACATGTACATGTTGTGTGTGGGCTGGGCGTGGGGCCTGGCCTGCGCCGCCTCCCTGCGTGCAAGCCCCACCCGGGCGGCGGGTGGACCAAGGGGCGTTCCGCCACGTCGTGGGAGATGGCGCTGGCGGCGCGAGAGAGGCGCGTGCGGTAGGCGTGCACCAGTGAAGCGAGGGTGGCAGCGGAAACGTCCTTGGCTCCGAGGGCAACGGTGTTGTCGGAGTACCCGTCGACAAAGACGTAGAAGTACTTGAAGCCACTCTTGCTCCTGACACGAAAGGGGCCCGCGGCGTCGAGCAGCGTCTCAGCGCCAACACGTGGGGCGCTGGGGGTGATGGTGCCAGTATGAGCGGCTTTCGGAGCATTGGCAGTGCTCCAGGTAGCATCAGGAACGTTGACGCCGCGCGCCCGTTCGAGAGCCGGAGGGGCATCAGCGGCGGTCCGAGAGAGCCTCTGCAGGCTCGCGCTGCTGACAGGAAAACGCCGGAACATGGTCTCAGTGATCTCGACGGGGTTGAAGCGGCGCAGGTGCTCGCCGGTATGCGGGTGGCGGAAGGCAGCAAGGGAGGCGGCATGACGTCGCTCGCCGGGGCCCTCGATGCGACCACGCAGGACATACAGCTCGCCGTCGGTCTCGGGGACGACGGTGTGCACGTCTCCGGGCGCGTCGCCCGGGAGGGTCATGTACCGCTTCCCATCCTCGAGGTGGAGCGCCCCACCAATGGACTCAAGAGGGCCCCAAGCCAAGAGCGTGAAGGCGAAGGCGGGGGCAGCGTGGACACGTCGCAAGAGGTAGTCGAACTCGTTGCCGGTGTTGTCGACGAGCCGGAGCGGCAGGTCCCCGACGACGGTGGCCTCGACCTCGCCACCGTCCATGCCAACGAAGGTGATGTCGCTGGGGGAGGTGTTGATGAGGGAGTCAGCATCAGGGTGAATGTGCTCAGCGGCTCCAGTGTCAACGACGATGCGACCCGTGTTGCACTCGACGTCGGAGATGGTGACGCGCCGCCGCGCCGGCACGGCAACTACGCGCCGTCGGCGGTGGGGTGGACTGGAGCCGCCGGCAGGTCGTCCACGTCTGCCGGCGCCGGAAAATCCTCCTCCGGGTTGGGGAAGGGAGGCACAGTGTCCTCCGGGTAGTCGTCGTCCCGCGCAGCATTGTAGAGGGCGACCTCAAACTCGCGGCGCGTGGTGTACGCCCCTGCAACATCGCCGTTCGAGAGGAGGACGTTGCGAGGGTACACCTCGAGGACGTCGCAGGCAGCGACCGGACCACCTGCGCCATATGGGATCCGGATAGCGTCCTGAGAAAGGCGACGATCGTGCTCTTGATCCCCGATCCAATTTGCATGCTCCCAGCGGGCGTCAGGCGGGGCCTCGCCCTGTCCGTCGGGCGACAGGGGCGAGTTGGCGAGAGCACGCGCCGCAACGACGGGGGCAATCAGGACGTGCTTGCGCGCGACCCTTGCGAGCAGGTAGACAATGACCGGGGCATTGCGCACGAGTTCGGCCCTGCCGTCGTCCCCGCGGCCAGAGTAGCCGATGAACATGGCGGCATTGAGCATCTGGGCAAGGCCGTTGACACTGCGAACCCCAGCAATGTCGGAGCGGATTGCAGCCAAAAGGGCAACGGAAGTGCCACCAGCGCCACTGACCTTGTCGGCCTTCTCGCGGTAGATGGCCCGCAGTGCGTCGTCGGAAAAGAAGGCCTTGAGAAGCGCCTCGGTGACAAGGTTGTCGATCCGCTTGATGACGCGTTGGGAGACGACGATCTCGGCCACAACCGCAGCCTGTCTCTCAGAGACCGTCTTGTGGACAGTCCCGACCTGCGCAAAATCATCGGCGGTGGGTGACTGACTGTCATCGGCGACGAACTCGAGCAAGTCGGCAAAGGCACGCGTCTTGAGCAGCTTCAGCTCGTAGCGCGCGCAGCGCACCGCATCGTGTTGGGTGCAGCAAACAGTGGGCGCAATGTTGTCTACGTAGACAGCGCAATTCGTAATGAGGAAGAAACCGATGCCATCGCTGTGATGCAGTCGGCTCCACTCGAGAAGAGTGGCCAGGTTCGCCGCAAGCCCGTCGAGGGCAGCGGCACGGTCGAAACTGCATTCCGTCACCATTGCATCAGCTTCTTGTTTAGCGCCATGTAGGAGATCCCGAATTTCGGAATACTCCAAGGCTTTGGTGGGCGTGTCAGGCATGGCCTGAGCAGTGGATAGCGTGTCAGGCTTCACAAAGGGGCTGACGCGACCAGTCGAGTCGCTGCCACGTGCAAGCCCCACCCGGGCGGCGGGTGGACCAAGGGGCGTTCCGCCCTGCTTGCTCTAGGTGAAACGTCTGAAGGACGAAGAAAGCACGAAGGTGCGACCAACTCAGCACGACGGGCGGAGAAGACGGGCACTAGACCAGGAAGGACTGGGAGAGTGTGAATGGAGGGACACGTGTGGTTCAGACGCCCTGCACCCTCCACCCCACCTGGGCACACACCTGTGGGCAGAAGGGCCGTGTGGGCGCGGTGGGAGGGCCTGCGCCAGGCATCAGGCTCTGTTGGTGCACGCACCGTGGTCCAGGCACTTTAAATTAGATCATCTTCTGTGTAAACGTGTACAGCCGTAGTTCACGGTCGCCAAGATAGTCCCAAGAGGTACAAGCTACACAAACCCCGCTCTCTGTTGCTCTCCTGCGCCTCTGGCCTCTCTCTATCTCCCGCACACACCCGCTGCTGGCCTCGCCAGGTAAGTGCAATAACTGTACGGCCGAGGAGATAGATCGTCGTCTCCAACGAGCGACCCCCGCCTCCGCCTCCACGAGAGGGGCAGAGGCGAGCATCTGCTTGCTTCTGGCCGGCAGGAGGTAGCGCTATAGCGCTGCCCTGCGCTCCATCGGCGAGCCCGTGCAACAGCGAAGCGTGCGATGGCCTCTGCGAGCGACGCGCCCTCGCGCCTCGTCAGTCCGGCGGGCGCGACGCCGCGCCACGCTGCAGGCAGAGCATCGCGGCAAGCTCTGCCGACTCGCAGTTGGCCGACGGAGCCTCGTTGCACCTCCTCGCCGCTGCCACCTCCGCCTGGCATCCGCCCTGCCGCGTCAGCTCGAGCACCAGCAGCACGTCACGCCCGCAGCGCTGGTATGCGTGCAGCGCCGGCAGGCAGAGGTCGCTCTGCGGCGACGGCTCTGACACGAGAAGCATCGGGTCGAGAGACAGCCCATGGTTCCGGAGGCACTGGGTGAGCGCCTCGGAGGCGGCGCCGCACTGCACCTGTGGGGGGAGGGGAGAGGCACATGGCGGGGAGACACTCACGGGGAGAGGGGAGAGGGGTGGCTGAGGGAAGGAGCGATTGATTACGAGGGAGGAGGGGAGGGCACTGGCCTGCAGCGTCGCAGAGCCAGTGAGGTGTGTCCGCAGCCTGCTGAGCCCACTGGACGCTGCTCGGAAAGGAACAGGACCATCCCGGCCGGAGGACATCGTCACCCGAGGATCCTAGCCACAATGAGTCAACGCACCTGTCGGCGCCCCGAGCCGTGCATCCAAAAGGAAGAAAACGCGGCGGCCTGATCGTCCTTCCAAGATCCCGTGCCCGTGCAGGTGGGGACCCTGTCCTTCTCCCACACTTCCACTCCTTTGCCTGTCCGTTTTCTTCATTCATTTAGAGAGAGAGATGTTTTTGTTGTTCATTTAGAGAGAGAGAGAGAGATTTGTTGTTCATTTATGGCCTGACACGCGAGTTCTACAAAACCTATAGCGCACGTCTTTACCTTGGTGTTGCCACGGCGGCTCCCCACCCGCGCGGCCCAGTAACGCGCAATCTCCGCTCACAGGGCAGCTACATCGACCGCGTTCTCGTCGAGTGCCAGCCGGTCGCCGTGGTGCTGCCCGCGCGGTCTTACCGCCTCCCCGAGCGGCTGGCTAAAGCGCGAGAAGGTGAACTCGCTCGTCGCGTACGGCGACGACACCTCGTACAGCCCCGGCGTCCCTGTGAACAGCGCGAGGGGGGTGAAGCGGCGTCTCGTGGGGCGAGGCTGAAATGGAGCTCGTGACGGGGGGGGGGGCACCCTCGACCGCCCCCTCCGCCATCGCACTTGTTGCAAAGTGCCCCTCCAGCGGGTAGTCGTCCACCTGAAGTGTGTGACCACGTCTCTTGAGCCTCACCGTGAATGGCGCGGATCCTAGGCCCCTCTTCTCACGAGAGGATGCGCGATGCGGGATCTGCTCTACCATCGCCCGTTACCGCCGCCACCTTGCCCTCCCGTCGCGCCGGCGCCGAGAAGGACTGGCCAATCAGGCCGTGCGGCATGGCGAGGGCGGCCGTGTCGCTGTCTGCTGCGGTGAAGCTCATATCGAGCCGGTGCGCGGGGCCGGAGAGGCGGCCGTACACGTTGTTTCCTCGCACCTGGAGGAACCATGTCCGTCAGGCCGCCAGGCCTCCCTCGACGCCTGCGGAGCCGCACACCCCGCTCCCGAACCCCCTACACGCGCCTTGATGCTCCAGCCGTGGACTGCAAACACGGTGCTCGCGAAGCCGACATTCACCGCGAGCTCCTGTTCACAGCCATGCGGGTGAACGGGTACTCCGTTCCGACTGCCAGAGTGCCCCGTGACGGTGCGGGCTCCTCGCAGCGCCGCTTCTCTCCCATGCCGAGGCTGAAGCCGCCGCCGCCGCAGCTGCCGTTCACCACCCGCCACCCCGTATTGAACTCGGACAGCTCGGACGCCCAAAAGGAGGCGGTCGCGACCTGGAGGGGAGGAGGGAGGTGGCGCAGGGTGAGTGGGAGTGCGCGGCCAGCTGTAGACACTTGCGAGTTGGCCGCCTTGCGCTTTTTGCCGCCGACGAGCGCCACGATGTGGACCTCGGTGATGAACGAGCCGTCGACCTCCAAGTGATGGTGGTTTTTATTGAGAAGAAATGATGCATCCTATTCGGAGAGAAAAGGAGGTGACGAGTCGGCAAGCGGTGCGAGCCGCTCGTGTAGCACGGGATTATCCTCCGTCTTGACGTTGACCGCCAGTCCAGGCGCCGAGAAGAAGGCGTACATTTGGCCGTGCTTGCCTCGAAAGTCGGCGCGGCCTCCGCGGGCAAGGTAGAGGTGCGGGTCCTTCCGTGAGGGAGGGGAGAGGGATCAGTCCGGTCGTTTGCTTGGCACATCTAGAGCACATATCAGCTGCGCGTCGCCTGCTTCACACCGCTCTCATGGGTCGAGAACTCCGCCGCCACGGCGCCTTGCAGCGGTGGCGGCGGCGGCGGCGGCGGCGGTGGCTGCGAGGCTTGCTTGGGGGCGAGCCACGCGTTCGCGTCCCCTGCGCCGTAGCTATAGCTGCTTCCTCCAAAGGTCGCTGCCTGCGGATCGGGCGTCGCTGCGCCGTATGAGTAACCAATCTCTGGCGCTGGCGCTCCAACCTCGAATACGGTTGTTTGCTGTTGGGTCGGGACGTCGGCGGCGACCTCGGGCGGGGGCGGCGGCGAAGGCTCGGGCGGGAAGGGCGAGGGCGGGGGTGAGACTGGCGAGGGTGGGGGCGAGAGGACGGGCGGCGGCGGCGGCGAAGGCTCGGGAGGGAAGGGCGAGGGCGGCGGCGGCGAGATGTTGGGAGGGGGTGGCGGGGACGGCTCGGGAGGGAAGGGCGAGGGCGGAGGGGCGGCGAGGTGACGGACGGAGCGACTCCTGGCGGACATCTGCGGCTTAGGGTAATCACAGGCTACCGGCTGAAAGGGGGCGGGCAGCGGCGGTACGGGGCAG